TACCTACTAAAAAGTCGAACTACGTTGTTGGAATAGTGTAAAAAGGCAATTATTTTCATGTGTTGCTTAGTGTGACATGTTAAACAAAAAGTAAATGAAAACAGAAGATACCAGCAATTCTTTTGCTCAATATTTCTTGACTCTTACAATAGTAATTTTATTTTTTCTGTTACTTTAAAATTAAAAAATCGTTGATAATTTGTTTTAAATAAATTTGCACATTGCACATAAAGGAAAATAACTTAAGCCAACTATCTATTTGCTCAATAATACATTTTTATTATTAAAACGCCCCATTTGGTGTACATAATATATAGAGTAACGTTAAAAAACACATCGTTAAGTGCTTCTAAATCAAACTTTGTAAGTCCAATAATTTCATCAATATTAATTAAGTTAACACAGTCAAAGTCCAACTCTATATTAATAAAATCAAAGAGTTTACGGTTACAACAAAATACCGGGAAAAAATCACCTAACCTTAAATCGTAACAAACCGCTAGGTTCGAATCGCCCCAATCGATAGAATTGTATACCTAGACGCTTGTGAAATAATCGCACATGAGAACTGTTGAATCTCAACTTTTTCCGACACCTGTCAAATCGTCCGATTATTCGGAATTTTCTTCCGAAAATTCGCTTATGAGAACTAGGCTTAGTGTACGTAAGTGTGGTGGACGAATGTTTTGTTGTTCAGGAAACCCTGTGCACTGTGACTGTTTCTTGCGCCCGCTATTGCGCCACTTTACCGGCCAATTGCAGTTGTCGCCGACTTACGAAAAAATCACGTGCGCCAGTCCGCCCCATCTCGAAGGAAAGCAGCTGTACACTTTACCGGAAGAACTGCTCATTTGTCCGGCCAATGTGAACACCACCAGACTGCTGGATAAGCTGGACGGCGATTTTAGCGTGCTGCCCGATCTGCGATTCAGGGAATTCAACGTGTAAGTTTGAGCGCTCCCAATAAAGTAGGCCTGGGTAACTCAGTCAATTTTCACGAGTTGGCGCAGTACTGGCGCAATGGCTTGGTGCGCCAACCCAACGCATCTGAAGCAGTCAAAATTGAAAACGAAAAACCCGCCGTTGGAATCGATTGCTGGGGAAAAAATGCAAAATATTTGCCTGATGCTTTCCAAGACTACCGTAATTGTGTTTAAAAATGACACAACAAGTTGAAATCAGCCCTGAAATTACATTAAACATTAATTTATGGAAAAAAGGAAAACATTGTTGGTATATAATCCGAACGAAAAATGCAAAAGAGTTGTAAATGCAAACAAACACAAGGCTTGATGCCGAGCGCAAAATACACTTGAAGATGCAAGCGATTTGTGCTTGCGAAACGTCAGCAGAGAACTGTTTTTCACGACTAAAAAATAAATTATTTCGATTTTTGAATTCGAATTTTGAATATTCTGAACAACTTTTTTACAAGTTACTCTTGTTTCTAAGCTGTCAAGTTTCCACAGGTCCACTTAAAAATACTGACAATTTTAAGCTACATTTAGAAATGTTTTTCTGGCTTTGAATCCGTGGTCCATGGGAATTTCTTACTGACGTTTCGTCCACAACTGCGGTGGACATTATCAAAGGCGAAAAATTATAGAATACATTTTATTGAATCACTTTGTGTGAATCACAATCGAAGCTTTGCAAAA